TCTTCGATTCTCACAAGTAGAACCGATCTGAAACCTTTCCGATGAGAATCTCCGGTTGCAAATATTCTTCTTCTTCTTTTGAGTTTTATTGGCGGATGGCAACCAACTTAAGGTGCATTTACCGCCACCTACCAGACTGGAGTGTGGCCATCAATGATCTCAGAGGGAATTTAATAATACACCTCAAATTGCAAATTCACATCCATAAACATTTATTTATATATATGTATGTATATGTATGCACATACATACATACATACATACTTTAAATATGATTGAATAACCCAGTATTTAAAAAAAAATCTAATTAATTGATTTCTAACAATTTGATTTATTTCCTAAAAGATTTATTATAGACAATATTCTCTCTATTTAGTATCATGCTTAAATGCTTAAATGCTGACGTTCCTCTGAATATTTATTACATTTTAATAAGACATACTTCACTGTTTCCATCTGATTATGATAATCAGATGGAAAACATTATTTTTTCAGAATATTTTCCTATTCTGAAAAGAGAACTATTAAATCTAGTATGACCAATTCTAAGTTGAGAAATGACTATTTCTTCTTTCCGCTTTCCATTCATACAATTATTACCCCCCACATTCTTTTGAATTATGTATAAATGTCTACCATTATCATGATTATCCCATTGTTCCTGCCAAAGCTTAAGGATTTTATTTTGAATAATATATTTCCCCTCACTTTTGCTTAAAGGAATACTTAAGTAAACAATATATGATTTCAGAGCCTGTTTAGCTGAAACAGGCTCTATTTACTTCTTCATCTCCTTTTGTACCTACATGAGCAGGAATCTGAAGCACAAACATAACATTTCTTATTAAGTACCTGAACTAATAATTGATATATACTTACTTAATAATAAATCTAATCTACAAGATTTGCCAGATTTTATACTTAATAATGCAGCTTGATTATATGATGCAATTATACATTTACTTTATTCCCTAATATTATTATCAAGCAACTATTCTAAAGCTAACATAATGGCAGATGATTCAACTGTAAAAACTGCTAGATGATCTGTTGTTCTTCTTTTAATCATGACTTTATGATGTGGGATATTCACAGCAGTTCCTGTTCTGCCACTATTTGGATCTTTAGATCCATCTGTATATATAATAATGCTATTTTTAAATCTTTCAAAAATAATTATTAACTATAACCCATTCTGGAGTTTTTCCCTTTTGAAGAAATTCCCCCAGTTTTAGATCAACTTCTGGTGAGATAAATAACCATGGTGGAATTGGGGATTGTGAAACCTTAAAACTATACTGGAACCGAGTCAAACCGAAATTTTGAGCTTTTATGTCCCCAATCCATCCAAAACTATTACAATTAGATTTATGATGTCCCCAACAGTCCTGCAGCACAGCCTTAGTTGGATGATCATAATTATGTCCCAATACACATTATCTTCAATCTTCTTAATCTTAAAGGAAGCTCACCAGTTTCAACGTGTAAAGCAGCTAAAGGAGATGATCTGAAAGCTCCACAACATATTCTTAAACCTTGTGTTTGTTCACTATCAAGTTTTCTCAAATGACTGTCAGCAGCTGCCATATATTCTATACACCCATAATCCAAAGAAGATCTCGTGAGAGCCTGATAAACTCCCAACAGTGCACTTCTTGAAGTTCTCCATTCCTGTCCAGAGAGACATCTCAACAAATTATTCACTTTTTTACATTTATTTTGAACTGATTCTATATGCTGTTTCCAAGTTAATTTTTCATCAAGGATAACACCTTAAAA